AAGATTTTTTTTAAAATGAAAGGTATTGTTAATATAAACTAGTTAAAAAATGTTAAAAGAGGAAAGGGTAAAAGTTAAAAAAATTTAGCAGAAGAAAAAATAAAATTAAAAGAAATTATTTAACTTTGCAAGACTAAAGAATCTTGGGGAGAAAGCCATGAATTCCATGCTTTGCTTTCTCCTCCTCTGGAGTTCCACTGTTCTCCTTGGTAAGTGAACTTGGTCTTGGCTGGATTTCTTGTTGATCTTCTGGGGGAGGGGCCTGTTGTAGTGATTCTCAAGTGTCTTTGCCCGAGACAATTGCCCCGCCCTTACCAGAGGCCAGGCTAAGAAATCTGCTTGGGTTCGCTTTCGGGAACTTTTGTTCCCTGAATGCTTTCCATAGAGTTCCAGAGGACGGGCATGAAAATGGCAGCCGCCCAGTCTCTGGCCCAGAGGAGCCCAGAGCTCGGGGCCCCGCTCCTCAGTGCGCCCTTGGAGAAAAGCGCTCAGTCACTCCCGTCTCCCTGGCCTCCGGCCACGCTCCGAGCTCACCCGGCCTGTGACCCAGCGTCTCTGTCTCTGGCACACAGCCCCGCCTGGAGCCTCTGAACCCTGCAGATCCCTGTGCTCTTCCAGGGGGGTCTCCCCAGATCTTGTGGGGTCCCCGCTCACAGAGCAGTGGCCTGTGCCGTGGATCACGATAAGGTAACCCTGAGCTAAGAGCTCACTCCTCGGCTCCGTCTCTGTAGCCAGCTTCCCTGCTCTAATACCTGCGAGCTCTGCAACACTCAGACACCCCCGATCCTTCTGTGACCCCACGGGACCTGGGGCCACGCTTACCCCACATGGGTTTCACCCCAGTTTAGCCTGCGGAGCAATGTCCCTCCGTGGAGCAGACTTTTAAAAAGTTCCGATTTAGTGCTCCGTTGCTCCGCCGCTTGCCAGGAGCCGGCCCCTCCCCCCCGTGGTCTATCCTCCCGTCGCTTTGGGTTCACTTCTCCACTGTCCTACCTTTCAGAAAGTGGTCGATTTTCTGTTTCTAGAATTGTTGCTCTTCTTCTCTTCAATCTCCTGTTGGGTTTGTAGGTGTTCACAATGGATTGATAAGCTGTCTAGTGGATCTCCTGCTACCTGATGTCGTCTCAGCCGCTACTCCTCCGCCATCTTGACTCCTGCCTCCCGAGTTGATGTTTTTTTTTTTTTAAGATTTTATTTATTTATTTGACTGAGAGAGTGAGCACAGGCAGATAGAGTGGCAGGCAGAGGCAGAGGGAGAAGCAGGCTCCCTGCTGAGCAAGGAGCCCGATGTGGGACTCGATCCCAGGAGGCTGGGATCATGACCTGAGCCGAAGGCAGCTGCTCAACCAACTGAGCCACCCAGGCGTCCCTGATTTTTTAAAATGTTGACCAAAAGTATCATTTTGCACATCTATGATACTGTTTTCTAGGGATATTTATGTTGTTCATGTAGCTTGCTTTACCTTCTGTGGCTATTAAAATGTATAGAAGTCAATTTTTTGTGTTTTTAAAAAGTCATTTAAACATTCAATTTAAAGACAAAACAAAAAGACTGAAAAGGGTTACAGTTATAGCTGAAACAAAACTGTACTAAATTGATAAGAGATTTGAACAAGGATTATCCGGGTTGAAATAAAACATCTCTAAATATAAACACATTAGATAGTTGAGGTTGGGAAGAGTCAGGCATATATTTTGAGGGTGAACTTTGATTGTTGTACAGCTGTTACTTGCTACTCAACAGGACATCTGCACCCCCAACGTATGTGAACTCGCCCATTGGCTATCCATTCCCGTTTCGAGTCTTTTTGTTTCTAATTCTGATGAAGTATCATTCCTAGTTTTGAATTTGATTTGATTTCATTTTGAATTTGGAGTCATTTTACCAAAGGGTCCTATGAAATTGCTCCACAAACCTTTTTGTGCTAATAGTTTGTGAAATCTCGGGGTACCCTCCCAGGCTTTCATACCCAGGTCTTGAGTCAATGCCATGAGAAGTTAGAGGGGAACCCGCTGTCATCTCTTCCTGCCTCTGATGGGGCAGTAGAGGAAGGCATGTTGTTGAAACTCCTTCTGAAGGAAAGGGTGTAGGCCAAGGTATTTCTGGTACTTTAGCTTTGCGATATACAGGCTCCCCCCCATCTGGAAGCAGAAGTCTTATGGTAGAAAGTACATCAGTGGTTGTGCTTCAGGTCAGTCCTCTGTAATCACCCACACACAATTACTCCCAGGGCTTTACTGACAGTAGTGCTGGGAGGTTATATCTTGCATGGGGAATTAGGTTGTAAAATTGTTATGTAAGGCAAAAATAGGAAATCACTTATAAAAAAAAACAGGAAATCCTTGATCACTGTGTTCTTTAGTTAAGCTCTTGATGAGGAAGTTGCCTTGAATTTCTGTAGGTTACATGTGCATATAATTTATTTCCACTGCCATACTTCTGATTTCAGGCTGGGCCTGGCCTGACCCTGAATATCTGATCGTTTTGGTTTTGCTGTTTTAGTTTTCAGCCTTTTTTTCTCTGGTCCACTGCCAGAAACTTCAGTTCTCTTAAGTAGTGGTTTCTGGAAGGCCTGTGCTAAACAGTCTGCAAATCCATATATTTTTACAAAAAAGACCACATCAATGGTTACCTGTGGACTGGGTCTGTTGTCATTTATGCTTGTATTCATGGTGTGACATGAATTATATGAAATTACATTTTCATCAGGATGCCTCCCACATCTGGCAGTAAAGTTGGCACCACCTTGCTACGATTCTCTGACATTCTTATCTTTAACAAGTACAGGCTGAAGTTTGTAGGACAGTGTAGAGTGCCTCCCATTTTTCTTTAAATCCCTACTAAAAGAGGGCTTTGACCAGCAAGCAGCACTGGCATTACTTGGGAGCCAGCTGGAGCAATAGAATCTCAGGCCCTTCCCTATAGGCAGTGAATTAGAATCTGCATTTTAACAAGATCCTCAGCTAACTTTGATGACAGCTTTAACTAATACTGAGTGCTCCCCCCACCATGATGTTATTGATCAAATAATAGGAAAAAAATCCATGCAAATAGGGAAATATTGTTTTAAATAGGCATGAACAAAATTTTTTCTTAAACAGCCAGCACAATAAGAGAAAAAGGTGGTGTTAAAGAGTTAATCGGATCTGACACAACCTAAATGAATTTGATTTACCCAAAAACTGATTATTTTCTTAATTGGATAGAAGACATTTTACGTGACTTGATAAAAAGAAGGTTTTTTTTCCCCTTATAAAATTAGTTTGCTCTTTTTTGGGTTGATGGAGGGAGAAGCAATTACAAAATGAGGTAGAGTTTAGAATCTTTTTGATGCTAATGCTGTTTAAGTGACTTTTACATTTTGTCTACAGAAAATCAATTTATGCAAGACCAGGCACCTATGTTGGAAGGTGAATTGGTTATAAAATATATCTTTGGAAATTTTCAATCATTGAATACAGTTAATGAATGACCATTCACAATAATGCATGTGAACCTCAAAGTTGATGATATTCTAAATCTGATCAGTATCATTTTTTAATCTGCCTTCTTAATCAAATCAAATCTTAGAACTGACTGAATTAACATGGTGACACAGTAGCTTAAATCATTAAAGATTTCTATTTTATATAATCATAAAGACAATGACTGTATCAAGATTGTCTTAGATAGGAGTGAAGTTAGAAGGTGATGAGATTGATTCAAATGATTCTCTGTGTATGGCCAGAACTTTAAGAATTTGTCAAGCAGGTAGCAGCATGTAGTTTACTATTTTGTGATTAGCTCTTGGGTATTTTGAGGATTGTTTGGCATTCTGTCTTCTAGTAAACCTGTAGAAAATTAATTCCATTTTTAAAATCAAGACGAAGGAAGGATGCCTGGCTGGCTCAGAGAGACGCGTGACTCTTGCTGTCAGGGTTGGGAGTTTGAGCCACATGTTGGGTGTGGAGATGACTAAAAAAAATTAAAAAGTAAACTTTAAAAAAGTCAAGGCAAATGAGTCCATGCTGCCGTTGGAAGATCTTGTTTTTTAAAAAATTTCTGTGGCATTATGTACGGATCACAGGTTCTTTGGTCTGCTAAGCAGTTTTGTTGTGATTTAATATGGGTATCGATAAAATAAGTAAAAGGTAAAATCCTGAAAGAACGTCTGATTTGTTGAAAGAGAATTTTTTGCTTTAACTGTAAACATACATAAAAATCAATGAAATGTAAAATGATTACATTTTGATTTTAAAATGATCCTATCTTTATTTCTGACATGTTTTCTTTAAAGATACTGGCATTAAAGTACTTAATTGTGCTACTGATGTCTGTTTTTCACTTTGAGATGAAGGGTTCTGGGGGCTTTTTAGGGGAAATTTACTGAAGTTGACAGTAGTTTAATTTTGTATTTGCTGCCAACCTTGAATTTTGTGTGTGGCATTAAAAAAAAATCTTATCACATATACTTAAATGCTTTCTACTTTATAAACAATTTCTAAGGCAAAGATGATAGAACTGCAGTATTGTGTATTTGAGGCCTTTTTTTTAACAGTGTTTCTGCCATATGGGTGATTTTCTTATGTTGAATTGCTCTCTCGGGAAATAGGAGATTTCTTTTCTGCATGTTGAATATAGCAAAAGTGGCTTTTTTATTTTTTAGCAGACTCAGGTGATTCATTTTTTATTTATTAAGAGAGAATTTCTAACTGATCTTTGAAGGTTATACATCAGTATAACATTAAGTCTTCACTATTCCTAAATACAGTACAGCTCTTTAACCTTAAATGGAAATAATATCAAGTTACCTTGCCTAGTAAGCCAAGGCTTTGTGAATATTTGAGGAAATGATTTGAGAATCCAGGGCTTCAGAGTGATCCCCAAAGCTCAGCTGATAAAACTTTTGTGAGTTATCCTTGGGGTTAAGGCAGAATTTGAAGGTATTGTAAGATGAATACAATTGAGTTTTCTTCTTTTCCGAATTCTAAAGGAAAATGCCCTTTATTTTCTCTTTTAGGTCCTCAGAATGGTTGGAATGATCCTCCAGCTTTGAACAGAGTACCTAAGAAGAAGAAGGTACTAGAAAAGTTGGTCTAGTTGCCCGCAGGTGTTCTGTTAATCCCAAAGCCACCTGGAATACACCACCCTTCACTGACCTTTAAAAGCAAAGTTTACTGACCAACAGGTTTCAAGTGTATTTTAGCTTACATCCTTTGTTTAGTTTAAAAAAAAAAAGTTTACATCCTTTGTTTAGTTTAAAAACAAAACAAAAAACCAGTATGGTGGTGTGAATTTAACTCCCATTGGAAGACAAGATGTAAATTCCCAACAGGTGTCTTTCAAAGAGTAGGAAACAAAATTTCCCAATGATTTTTTTCTTTTGGGGGTGTGTGTGGTCTTTGGTTTCCAACAGTAGTCCTGAATTTGGTAATTATATTTTGGACTGTTTTGTCTATCACATATGATATGAAGAAACAACAAACGAGCTGAGTAGTGTTTAACTGTCAGTAACTGTTGAGCGCTTTGGAGCACAAGATAAGATTCTTCTCTGCTCCTTCCTTCCCAAACGTTTTTACTTTTTTTTTTTTTTAAACTTCTGGTAATTTCCTTTCCTTAAATATAGTAATGAGAGGGCATAACAATAAAATTGGGAGGCACTAAATGGGCCAAAAAACCCCAAAATTTAGGTTAGTAATAATGAGAAATTAGAAATGAAATCTACTACTTTTAATATGGTTGGATTGACAGGTAACATCTACTTAGTGATCTAGGAAAAGGAGCATTACATCAGGATCACATTAAATATAAACATTCATTTGGCATATTTGATTCCAGTATTTGCTCGATATAATTCTCTAGACTTTGACTTCCTCTTTCAAAACGCCTTGTTTTGGCTCCCCATATGAGAGAATGTATGGAAGACAAAGGGGAAACTGAGAGGTCCAGTTTTGAGCTTTCTATCCCTCTTACCCAGATTAGCTCTAATTTTATGTTTTACTCTAGAATTCTGCATAAAATTTCATTTGAAAGTAGAATACTACTACAAACAAATAACATTTTTTAAATGTTAACCTTATTTAAGGGTAAGTAAATGATACTCTTTGGCTTATGCTTGCTGTCTTTTATTTCTGTCTTTTAAAAGATGCCTGAAAACTTTGTGCCTCCTGTTCCCATCACGTCACCAATCATGAGCCCTTTGGGTGACCTCCAATCCCAGATGCTGCCACAGCAGCCTTCAGCCCCCGCACCTCTGTCAAGCCAAGCTTCATTCCCACAGCCACACCTCGCAGGTGGCCAGACCTTCCATGGCATCCCGCAAGCCCTCGGTCAACCAGGCGTGCCACCTTCTTTCTCCAAGCCCAATACTGAAGGCGCGCCAGGGGCTCCTATTGGAAATACCGTCCAGGTAACAGTCAGTCTGCGTCCGTGGAAGGGGAAGATGGCTCTGTTTCAGTTCATGTTTTTTAATGTGTTAACTTTGATGATTGCACCTCTATTAGTGAACATCTATATTCGGTTTCAATTAAGACAACCTAAATAAAAAATAGTAACCCTCGTTTTTAAGACTGATCGTGCAGGGATATTTTTCAGTTACGTGGCCATAAACCTCCTGGAAGAGGCTCACGTATTTGCTAGTGTATGTTTACACTGACTCGACAATCGCAGTATCTCATTTACCTAACCAGTAGCCGTAATTTAAGATGAGCTGAACCATATTTTCAACCAGGCTTGCTAAGCAGAAGTTATTTCCAAAGGTTTCCCCTTAACGTAAAAGATAAAGTGTGATGAGCTGTATCTTCCCTTGTGTACGTGTGAGAGCTTACACTGTACAGCCTACCTTCACATGGAGACACAAATTTGTACTGCTTTTCACATACAGACACCTAGTCGGAAGGGTTCTAGACGATAAAAAAATCACATATAACTAACGGACTCGACACACAAAGGTAAACATTTTGATCTGTTCATGAAGAGTGAAGAGCTTGGGTGAAAGTTAACATAAGAAGGTGAAACAAATCCCTGCCCAAAGTATAAAACTAGTTCTGTTTTTGTCTTTGACCCATTGAAGTCAAATTTATAAACATGTTTCTCTGTCACAAGGCTGTGCTTTACTACGTTCCATTATAAAAACCAGTGTTTTGATGGAGGTGGGAGAACTGACTTCTTTCCGCAGGACTTTAAATTACAAAGATGCGCTGTTATTTTTTTTTATGATTACAAGTCTACGCTAGTTTGGGAAGCTACCCAGCATTCACTTTTGTTTAGACCTGGGCTGCTCATGCTGTACTCATCTAGACCGGAACCTCATTTACTGCCGGAAGGGAATGCTGCGGGATGTATGTGTTCAGCCAGGCCTTTACATCCAGCTGCCTGCCTATCTGGATGTCTCCAAGGCCCCTCACACTCCACATTTCTGAAGCCTTATTCATAGTCATCCTCCCAAACCTCATCTTCAGAATCTGGTCTTCAAACCTCGGTGTTTCCTACTTTGGTGCATGGCACCATAATCCTTCCTATTTAATCTAGCCGAAAACCTAGGAATCATCTTTATACTCTTTTCCTTTAATCCCTCTTTCAAGTCTATCCCTAAATCTTGTTGTTACTGTTTTAAAAATCTCTCTCAGATCCCCGGCCTGCACTTCCAGTTTGGTCTATGCTGCCTTCACCCCAGTTTTCAGCAGTGCAGGAGCCTCTAATTAGTCTGTCTTTGATCATCTATCAGGTCTTGTCTCATCTTTGTTCAAAACATTTCTCTCAAGATAAAGACCAAAATATTTCACATTATCCAGAAGCCCTCAGCTGCATATTCCTCCTTGCTGTCTGCCCCAGCTACACCGGCCTCCTTTTAGTCACCTGTATCATGATCCTTCCTTTGGACACGTTCTTGCGCTGCCCGGAATGCTTTTCCTTTCTCATTTAACTAGTTGACTCCTATTTGTCCTTCTGATATAATTTCCTGCAGAGAGCTTGCCCCTCAGTTAAATTCTAGTTCTACTATCTGTTGGTTCCATTAACGTTAGCTTAGTATCAATTAAATACCAGTACAGTTGCTATCTTACATGTACTGGTGACATTTTATTTTTTTACTTTTTTCAAGTAACATCTTTCATTAAGATATAAATGTTAGTAAACTTTTTTTTAATGAAACTTTGAAACTTTCATTTTCTTCTTTTAGCCTAATAAATTGCCAGAGAGCTGAGATCATTTCTGAATTGGCTTATAAATACATGGTCAGTCCCTGGCACATTTTTTTTTTTTTTTTTGAGTGAATGAACTAATAAATCAGAACTTTAAAAACAAACCAGTCCTTCTTTATCTTTCCATCTGTACATTCAGTTACATCATGGTCTCTTCTATGCCAACTTTTGACTTAATCTTGGCAGTTTGGGGGGTACCTGGGTGGCTCGGTGAAGTGGCTGCCTTTGGCTCAGGTCATGGGATCGAGCCCCACATTGCACTCCCTGCTCAGTGGGGAGCCTGCTTCTCCCTCTGCCTCTGCCCCTCCCCCTGCTTGTGCTCTCTCGTGCACTTTCTCTCTCAAATAAATAAATAAAATCTTGAAATAAAAAATCTTGCAGTTTGATGATAGACCAATTACCAACCTTCAAGAACAAACCAAAGAACAGAAGAATGCCAAGATAAACCAATGAGCTGACAAGCAGAGCAAGCAACCACCCTCACTCGCGGGCTCGCTTCCTGCTGGCGTAGGTCTGCTGTCCGCTTCGCCCCAGATACGTACAGTAGAGATCAACCTGTGTGCCATGATTGACTGAATTCTTTATACCCAGTTCTGGTTTTGAAAATCAAAGCTGTAGAAGCCTGTTCCTTCTACTGAATATCTGATTTTCATTTTTACTTATCCCAAGGGATTTCACATGTTAATTTGTCATTTGATTTTAACAAGTGGTTTTCTTTTTATCACAGAGTTTCAGGGCTTTGTGTATCGGTAATTTCCGGTCATTTCTGGTCACTTTATGGTATTATTTCTTCCAGCATGTGCAGTCTTTGCCAACAGAAAAAATTACCAAGAAACCTATTCCAGATGAGCACCTCATTCTAAAGACCACATTCGAGGATCTCATTCAGCGCTGCCTCTCTTCGGCTACAGATCCTGTATGTATTTGTTCTCATGTTTTGCTCATTTAAAATAAGCACGTAGGCAGCTCTTCTGTAATCGCAGGAAGCCTTGCAAGATAGACTTTAGAAGTTTGTACAATAGTAGTAAAACTAGCACTTACATACTTTGCTTTACATATAGAAATGTATTTAATATCTTTTATAGGTAAGTATTTAATCCTCCCAGCAACCCCATGGTAGGTAAATTTGTCATCTTTTTTTTTTACAGACAACTAAAGTAAGCAAAAACCAGTCAACACCGAAGGTCAGAGCCAGAATTCAAACCCAGTGTGGGTGTGGAATGTGTGCTCTCACTCACTGTGCAGCGCTGCCGCTCAGCAGCAGACCTCATGTCTGTCATGTAAACAGAACAGAGTGTGGCGTGCAAGAGAGTCAGGTTGGGGCTTGCTTTCCGAGCTCAGATCCAAGCTTTTAAAAGTAGATCGATAATCTTACATGTAACTTTGCAAAGATCTTAAAAATAATTGTTTTAGATTCTAGACTCATATTCATAGTTAAAGCAACTGATTTTACTTAGTTCATTGAGAGGATGCCTGTGTATTGGCAACAACAAAAATTCAACAAAGCCGATCTTGTTTTAGATGAACTCTCAGTTTCTGCCAACAAACATTGAATATGTTTATTTAGTCACTGGCCACTTGTCTGCTTGAAAAACAGCTTCTGGAATTTGTTGTTTCATCGGACATTGAGTATTCATATGTGCAGCTTTCTTCTGGTGTTTTACAAAGCTATTCCCTGTACTAAATGTGTCAGCAAATCAGAAGCAGGGATCGGTTAGCGTCAGCCATTGTGCCTGGCATTCTGGAAGTGATGGAAACAGAGAGGAACAGAGAGCAGATGAGGCAGACGGCCCCGCATACACTGTCCCCTGTGTGCACCTCTAAATAGGGCACAGTCATTCAAAAACAGAAGAGCCCTCATAAAAATGAAGAGAACTCCAGCTCTCCTTGAGGCAAGAGTCAGTATAGAGAGGTTGAGATGACACGTAGTACACAGCCCAGCTCAATAAATTTTTGTTGATTTAAACTTCTCTAGGTCAACATATCATCTTCCCTCTGGGTCCAGAGGAGTCCTGGGCAGAAGAGAACCACAAAAGACAAACTGTTCTTGTAATTCCTGTAACCAGTCGGTTGTGGGGGGTTGCTAATACCCTATCCCGACCAGCTGACTCTGCCCCTGGTAGCGAGATGAGATTAGATTTGAGCAGGGACTCTCAGGGTTCCCCTCCATGCAGATCCTTTTAATCACTAGCTGGAATCCTTTATACAATGTGGCTGTCATACAGTCTTTTCACGTTAGCTGTATCCAGACACCACAAAGTAGTTTTGCAACATGACTTAGTTTGTAACGTTATCCCTGATAGCTTCATCTTTTTCTCGTTCTTTTTTAAACATTCATTCGAGGTGTATCATTGTGCTTCAGCAGTTTTGTATGGTGCTGAGTGCTCATCGTGACAAGTGTCCTCGTCAGTCCCTGTCACGTGTCTCACCCGTCCTCCCATCCACCTCCCTTCTGGGAACTATCATATTGTTCTTGGTAGTTTAGAGTCTGTTCCTTAGTTTGTCTCTCTCTCTTTTTTTTTCCTTTGGTAGTTTATTCTGTTTCTTAAATTCCACGTATGGGTGAAATCATACCTTTGTCTTTCTCTGATTGACGTATTTTATTCAGCTCACACTCTCTGGCTCCGTCCATGTTGTTGCAAACGGCAAGACTTTATCATTCTTCTCACGACCAACTGACACTCTGTTGTGTACACGCCACATCGCCTCCATCCATTCACCTGTCACTGGACACCTGGGTTGCTTCCATAGTTTGGCTATTGTAAATAATGCTGCGATAAACATAGGGGTGCATGTATCCCTTTGAATTAGTGTTTTTGTATTTGGGGGTAAAGACTAAAGACTCAGTAGTGCACTTGCTGGGTCGTAGGGTAGTTGTGTTTCTGACTTCCATTAGCCATCCTGTTCCAGAGCGGCTGTACCTGTTTGCCTTCCTTCAGGCAGCGCAGGAGGGTCCCCTTTGTCCACACCCTCACCAGCACTGGGTTGTTTGCTGTGTTGTTGACTTCAGCCGTTCTGACCAGTGTAAGGTGATACTTCATTGTAGTTTTGATTCATATTTCCCTGATGATGAGTGATGGGAGCATCTTTTCGTCTGTCAACCGGCCGCCTGAATGACTTCTTCAGAGAAGTATAATTCATGTTTTCTGCCCACTTCTTAATTGGATTATTTGGGGGGGGTGTTGAGTTTATCAGTTCTTTGTGTATTTTGGAATCTAAACCTTTATTGGATAGGTCTTCTGCAGATATCTTCTCCCATTCAGCGTGTTGCCTTTCAGTTTTGTTTATTGTTTCCTTCACTGTGCAGAAGTAGTCCCGGTAGTTTATTTGTGCTTTTGTTTCCCTTGTCTGAGGAGAAAAATACTGCTATGGCTGATGCCAGAGAAATTATGGCCTGTGCTCTCTTCTAGGATTTTTATGGTTTCCTGTCTTATATTTAGCTCTTTAATCCATTTTGAGTTTATGTTCGTGTGTGCTGTGAGAAAAGTGGTCCAGGTTCATTCTTTGGCATGTGGCTGTCCAGTTTTCCTAACACCATTTATTGAAAAGACGGTCTTTTTCCCACTGGGTATTCTTGCCTCCTTTATTGAAGATTATTTGACCATATAATTGTGAGTTTATTTCTGCATTTTCTCTTCTGTTTCATTGATCTGTGTGTCTGTTTTTGTGCCAGTACCATACTCTCTTGGTGACGACAGCTTTGTAATACAACTTGAAGTCCAGAACACTGATGCGTTCAGCCTTGTTGTTCTTTTTCAAGATTGCTTTGGCTATTTGGGGTCTTTTGTGGTTCCATACAAATTTTAGGATTATTTGTTCTAGTTCTATGAAAAATGCTGTTGGGATGTTGGTACATTAAAAAAGTCATTCACAGGGGCACATGGGTGGCTCAGTCGGTTGAGCTTCCGACTCCTGATTTCATCTCAGGTCGTGATCATGGGGTCATGAGTTTGAGCCCCACGTCAGGCTCTGTGCTCAGTGCAGAGTCTGCTTTGAGATTCTCTCTCCTCTTCCTCTCCCTATGCCCCTCCCCCACTCCCATGCTCTCTGTCTCAAATAAATTAAATAAATATTTTTAAAAAGTCATTCACCAAAAAACAAACAAAAAAATTATCCACCACAATCAAGTGGGATTTATTCCCAGGATGCGAGGCTGGTTCAGTGTTCATAGATCAGTCATTGCTCACTTCAGCAGCACATACACTAAAATTGGACCAATACAGAGAAGATTAGCATGGACCCTGAACAAGGATGACACGCACATTTGTGAATTTGCATCTGACCAAATACAAAATCCATTCCTGATAAAACCCTCAACAAAGTAGGTTTAGAGGGAACATAAAACATACCTCAACACAATAAAGGCCTTATATGAAAACCCACAGCCAACATAATCTCAGTGGACAAAAATTCAGAGCTCTTCCTTTCTCCTCCTCTGACATATTGACATTCCTTCTTCCAGCATACCAGGAGCATGTCAGCATCGACAGCTTTGTACTTGCTGCTCCTTCTGCCGGGGATCTTCCCCCATGTGACCACGTTACTCAGGCCACACATGCTCCAGGCTTCTCGGATGTCCCAGGAGCTGTCTGGCCTTTCTTTACCACCTCGTGGTCCCAGCACTTCTAGCCCCTCACTCTGTTAACTCTTGCTTCCTGGCATTCATCACCATCTCATCTGCAACATACTTCTATCTAGTATCTTTTTCCACCAAGGGCATTCGAGGTCCCTGAGACATAAGCATGGCACACAGTAGACCCTCGGTAAATACTGAAGAACAGCGTCCGTTCTGAGGCTGTCGCATAGTGTACATCATTAGGTTAATCACATTGTAATTGAAACCTTTAATTTTAGTTTTAGAACGGTTTTCTCTCACTATACTTCTAGTACGAGGAGTGGGAGGTGGAAGGCCTCCTTGATTTAAAAACTCCTTTTACAATATCCCTCTTAGTAATCTTAAGCCACAGAACGTAATTTTCTTTCTTTTTTTTTTTTCTCCCTTGGTGTTTTAAAAGCTCAGAAAGAGGGGCACTTGGGTGACTTAGTCTGTTAAGTTTCCAACTCTTGATCTCAGCTCGGGTCTTGGTCTCGGAGTCATGAGTTCAAGCCCCACATTGGACTGAGCAAGGAGCCTACTTTAAAAAGCCTACTTAAAAAAACAAAAAATGAAGAAAAGCTCAGAAAGAAGCAAGGTTAAATAACCAAATGTGACTAAGTATGTAAGTGATTGGAAAGGTTAAAATAAGGTTCCAGTTCACCTCTGTGCTTGCTGCCAGCACCCATAATTCACAGTAGCTGTCCTTAGATCTTCTCTCCTGCAACACAGTGGCCCACTGTTGCCTCCAGACGGCCCTCCGTGTTGCTCGTGGCTAGTGCGTTTACACGTGCACACGCCTTGTCCTCTGAGCAGACAGTCCACAGTCCAACCACTACTCCAGTTTGCGCTCTGGAAGGCAGCCCCATATCCTCCTACCCTCCCCCCATGAATAGGTTACTGACTCTGTCCTAACGGTCAGTTGAAGTTTCTGAGTCATAGCTGCCTCCGTTTCTTTATAACATGAAGCCGGTCAGCATCAGGAGTGTAAGGATTAGTGAAATGAGACAGGGCAGAGTCTTTGGATAAAAGTTAAATATTCAAATATAACACATCTGTTTTTCTTCTCCTGCAGCAAACCAAGAGGAAGCTAGATGATGCCAGCAAACGCTTGGAGTTTCTGTATGATAAACTTAGGGAACAGACGGTAAGTTTGTGGGGAAAAAGGAGGATTCATGATAATCATTTAGCCCTAGTTGCTAGTAAATAAGCACGTCATCAGCATTCGTGTGGAGTGTCCTTGGGAGCAAAATTGTGAGGACAGTGGTGGAATGGGCTTTCGCTAACTGAATCATAAATGTCATTTAAATTTGGGGATTAGGGGCACCTGGGTGGCTCAGTGGGTTAAAGCCTCTGTCTTCAGCTCAGGTCATGGTCCCAGGGTCCTGGGATCAAGCCCCGCATTGGGCTCTCTGCTCTGCAGGGAACCTGCTTCCCTTCCTCTCTCTCTGCCTGCTTCTCTGCCTACTTGTGATCTCTGTCTGTCAAATAAATAAATAAAAATCTTTAAAAAAAAAAAAAAATAAAAAAAATAAATTTGGGGATGAAAGAACAGGAGAAGGGGTGTGTGTGTGTGAGAGATAGGAGTGTAATTTTAACTCTTCTTATAACAAAGAGTAGAAATATAATCTGGCTTGTATTGGCCCTAAGGTAACTGGCCTTCTGTTCATTTTATATGTGGCTATATTTTTTGCATTTCAACATTCCTCTGCTCCATCCCTCACATCAGTCCCATCAGATAAAAATAACCATTCCTGGGGCGCCTGGGTGGCTCAGTGGGTTAAGCCTCTGCTTTCAGTTTGGGTCATGACCCCGGCATCCTGAGATCGAGCCCCAGATCGGGCTCTTTGCTCAGCAGGGAGCCTGCTTCCCTTCTCTCTCTGCCTGCTTGTGATCTCTGTCAAGTAAATAAATAAAATCTTTAAAAAATAATAATAATAATAACCATTCCTGTCATGTGAGCCGGACCAGAGAAAGTTGATGTAACAGTGAAAGTTCTGTGGTCCCTGGACTGATCCGAAATAAATTCTTCCCTCAAAAGTATGGGCATATAATCTAAGTAATGACATGGGGAAACTACAGATACTGTGGTTTTAAGAGATGGTAAGATTACAAGAGCAGTTAAGAATTGATAAGCTGAGTACATGATGATGGCTGTTACCCTACGAATGCAGGTAGACCACAGGTTTGAGATCACTGCTGTAGACATGGTTTTTGACTGCTTTGGGTCCTCACTTAGAGAGAGCATGATTAAGAACCAAATTCCAAAAAAACCCTTTAAATTCCTTCATATGCATGGGAAAGTTTTAAAAAGGTGTGAGCCTGTATCTAAGGAATTTGAAGAATTAACACTCTTAAGTGGAGAAAGACGTTAGCATTTCAGCTGGGGGAGGAGAGCTGGCTTCTATAAAAAAAAGTTAACTGACTCATACACGTTCATAATTCATAATAATTTCCTTACATAAATCATCTTGTCATGGTTCTGCTTTATAACTTAAAGAGTTGCTTGATCCAAAAAACTATTTCTAGAAAAGCTGTATGATTTATTTGCTTTTTTATAATATTTGTTTCAATCTCCTTTTAAATATCAGGGTTTATGGGAGAGTCTTTCTTAATTTAATTCTTTCTCCTGATTCTGCCTTTGTTTCAGCTTTCACCCACAATCATCAATGGTTTGCACAGCATTGCAAGGAGCATCGAATCGCGCAACTACTCGGAAGGCCTGACCATCCACACCCACATAGTCAGCACCAGCAACTTCAGTGAGACCTCAGCTTTCATGCCGGTTCTCAAAGTCGTCCTCACCCAGGCCAATAAGCTGGGTGTCTAAAAGGACGTCTTTACTCCCAGCCCATATTGCCATTTTTCCAAAGAAACCTATTTTAAGAAATGTTAAGGTATGGACCAGTCCTCATTAGCATGTTTCCATAGCAGCCGGTCAAGAGCATTTACACTATTTCTGCAGATATACTCACCTTAGAACTGCTCAAAACCCAGGTGCTTTCTTTTGTTTTAACCTTTTATTGCCCATGATGATTTTCCTATTCTGCAAATAGTGTATTTCCTGGATTACACATAGTGTGTTTTCCTGAAGTATTCTGATTAAATGTGGTTTTTAAAACCTCAGTATACTTTTTGGAAAAGGAGCATCTGGTTATACATAAAGCAGAGCCAAAACTAACTTTCGTTCACGTCCTCCCTGCTTCCTCTATGTCAATCAGATTAAAGTGTGTAACCCTATTCTATGTGTATGTAGTCTTCTTTTTAAAACAGCTGCTCACAGTTTAGTTAATCCGTATTTTTTGTGTCTTTGGCTTCACTCGAGTTCTGAACAAATAACCAAATCTAGAGGTCGCTACCCAGATTTCAGCAAAGATTAATGAAGAGTGGGAGCACTAGCTTTAAATACCTATTGGGAAAATGAGCGTTTTTGTTCTGTGGAATGCATGGGACTTTTTTGTATTAATAAATGTTTTCGATATTCTGTTTGAGTTTTAAGATTGAGTTATCTCCATTCTACATTTAGAAATTTGTTTGTCCACTTTTTAAAAGTCACCCAGAGCTCTGAAGTGTAAATTTAGAAGGAAAATTTTAATTTCTGTCAACCTCCTGAATCAAAGGCAGACGTTTTTCAGCCAGTTTTTCTGTCAAGTGATTTTATGATAGTTTGTCTTAAGAACAAGCAGTGTGGCAGGGGCACCCGGGTGGCTCAGTCGGTTAAGCGTCTGCCTTCGGCTCAGGTCATGATCCCAGGGTTCTGGGATCAAATCCTACATCAGGCTCCCTGCTCAGCGGGACGCCTGCTGCTTCCCCTTACACTACCCCTGCTTGTGTTCTCTCTCTTGCTGTCTTTCTCTCTGTGAAATAAATATAATCTTTAAGGGAAAGAAAAAAAAACAGTGTGGTAAACAAATGATGATGGTTGCCAGAGAATCTTGAGAATCAGACACTAGTAAGTCTTCACCGGTGCGTTATGTAAGTTGACGTAAGTAGGCTGGGCAGCTAGAAGATAAACATCGTAACTACCGGGGAGCTGCTTGCCGGGGGTTAGCCTGGTTCCAGTAAGAGCGGTGAGTGAGGAAGAGCAGTCATAGCTCGTCAGGCTTTGTACCCCTGAGTGAAACGGTCTGCGAGAACCTCTCGTTTCCTTTTGGAGGGGTTGCCTGTTTGCCAAATAGAACCCCTCTTTAAAATGAATCATTCTGTGTTTAGCTCTGAATCGTTTTATAACTAAAAAAGGAGGACCATGATAGCATGTGTGAACAGTGGACCCCAGGACGGGCGCGCTCTCCCAGCCCCTGCCTTCAGTCCCCGGGGCTGCAGGCGCCCGAGTCGCTTCTGCGACTCACTGAAATGAGTGGCTGCTGAGTGCTGGGCGGTGGGGTCAACCCCAGGCCCCATGCAGACCACAGGCTGGCCGCTAGCAACTTTTTCATCTATTGCCCTTATAGTTAGGGTGTGTTTTATGTTCACCCTGATACAATAATGGCATAATTGGCAACTTTTTATGAAAAAACAAATTCCCAAAAGGTGACAAACGAGGAGGTGGCAGCAGAGCCCTGGTCAACCTGAAGGTTTTACAAGGACGAGCGAAAACACACGGTCCCTGACGGCTGAGCCGCCGTTCTCTCTCCTTTTTCAACACAGCATTGAGATATTTCCCCCTGCTGTGGAGACCTTCTTCCACGTGGCTTCTAACCTTGGAGAAGTTCCACATAAATGGCTGGTGGTAGGAGGAGCCGGACCCAACATGCTGTGTTGTCTCCGAAGCACGAAGATAAAGGGAGATTGTTGAAAGAGCATAGTCTGTTTTCTCGAAAAGAGGAACAACTTTCAAAAAGTTTTCTTTTAGTAAGAGTAGAGAAAAAAGGTCTTAACTTCATAAATGAGCCTGTTTTTAACATTTTCAACTCCAAAGACATTGCCCTGTATACCTGCGCAGGTCGGGCGCCTCTGTATGAAGGGATTCTTGTGCAACGCCACTGATCTGTTCAGTTTGGGGAAATCACAGCCGTACCCCTGCCACTATTTCATGCACCGTGACGGGTCATTCTTCTGAATCCCCGATTTGCTCAGTTTTGCCCTTACGTTGGTGCTTTTTAATTCTTTCACCGATGTAATTTTAAAACAAGGAAAGGCGTGTGAGGGAACCTGGTAGGTGGGGCTGGCTGTCGGCCAGGAGACGTGTCGCCTCTGGGAGATGCTGCTTCAGATGGCACCTGCTCTTATGGCCCTTCGTGGGGTGGATGTGTTCTCGGGCCGCGTCTGAGGATCTTACATGTGATCGGACACGATCCGCCGGAGGCGGTTGCGCGTGTGGACAGCGTGGCAGCAGGGGAAGCGGCACCGCTGCTCTACCCGTGACTTGGCAGCCCAGTTCAGAAAACTCCGTGTGCCCTGGAGGGCAGAAAGAGCAGAGTTCCTGGCGACCAGTTGTGCCCCGATGAACACCTGCCTGACAGGTAGACGAAGGGGTGGTGACAGGCTAACACTTTCCTGATAACCATGTGTCTCCCGAGCCAAATTTAGGTTCGCCTAAGAGTGACCGCAAGGCCACCTGTCGCCTCTCGCGCTGTGGTGGGGACGTCATTTGGAAGAGTGTTGAAGGTTCCGCGAGCGGTGTACGCACGTCTGTGTCCGCACACGCATAAGGATGCCTGTGTCCCTCTTTATCCCGCTGCTGTGGTGGCGGCGTTCCCAGGCAGCGCCCCTGCGGGTCTCTGGGTGTCCGTCACGTGCTGAGCGTGTCCTAGGTGGCCTCTCGAATGACTGCGTCAGTGACACGGACTGTTTATGCACAGAAAGTCTTAACTGTTGGGTCTGACGGATGAATAGGACAAATCTCTCAACCAAGATAGGTGACAAGAAGCCGCACTGGCTCTCACTGCTCCAGCCCCGGAGGCCGGGGCTACGGCGCACACACGAGCCTCGCGGGGCTCAGACTGTACCATCCTTTCGTTTCCAGCTGTTCGCTCTTCTGGCCCCGCGGGGAGAAGTGGTGGGATGTGCGGGTTTAAAGTGAGTGGTGTAGATCTTGGAAAAGGTAATGAAATCTAGCAAAAGAGAATAGACCTTTTTAAAAAAGATTTGTTTGTTTGTTTATTTTTTTGAGAGAGAGCACGGAGGGGAGGGCCAGGGGGAGGGAGAGAGAATCTCCAGCAGACTGCCATGCTGAGCGGGAGCCCCAAAAGGGGCCAGAGTCGAATCCACAACCCTGAGATTATGACAGGAGCCAAAATCAAGAGTGGGCACCAACCGATGGAGCTCCCAGGCGCCCCGGAAATAGGCTTTGGTATAACTGTGGTACATGGCTTTTGCATTCTGGATTCATGTTTCCAGAGATCGGCTGAAGTATTATTTAGCAAACAGTGTTAATGTCGTTCGTCAGAAACACCTGGAATGACTGTATAGAGACCTCATTACTCAGTAATATCTGAGGTCTCATGCGGCTGTGCTCTCCCTTGAAGCTGAATTCTGACGGTCCCGGACCTAGAAGGTCGTCGTTCATCGGGCAGGCCTGTGCCTGCTTTACTGCTGTGTCTTACAATTCCCGGTCCTGTGACCTTTCTAAAACCACCTCTTGGGTATCAGTGGGTTCACACTGTGCAAACATGGGGGGAGGGGGATGGCTTCAGAAGCCTTGTGAAATAGAGGAAACCTTTCTACTTCAAAAAATATATAACAGTTCGTTGGGTTTTTGTCTATATGAAGTAAATCCTAATGAACTTTGTATCTCAAACATCTACCATTATCTGGGTTACACCTTTAAAGGGATTTGCACTTCCCAGCTCTAGAGAGTAGCGTTTTCACACTGTTATTGACGGTTTCTTTACCTCAATAGGTATTTGTAAAGGACTTCATGTAGTTCAGTAGGAAGACATCCTGTCCAAACGTGTGTGTGTGTGTGTGTGTGTGTGTGTGTGTGTGTGTGTGTTTCTAGGTAGGCGATGTAAAATGAACCAGTAGGGAGCCTACCATAGGAATGGAATGGATTCAAATTTGATTAAAAGAGGAAAGTTCCAGACTTTTTTTTTTTTTGATAAGTAAAAGGGTAATGAGTATAATATATAATTCAAGGGAACCATTAAGGCTTATTTGGTTAATGATGAGAAATCATTTCATCTTGTACTTTCTCCAGTAAAGGAACTCCCCCACTCTAGGACTAGACTGTGGAATTAAATATCAAAACAGACTTCCATAGTAAAGAAGGAAAACAGCATCTCCTACAAGTGACCTAAAAGTAACTTCCTTTCCCTCTGGCTATGTCTCCAAGTAACCCATGACTTTCCTGACCCTTTTTTGCCTGAAGAGTCTTTGGGAGAGAACAAGTCAGTTTAACAGGCAGGGATCAAGTCCACAAAGAGTTCTGTCCTGGGGCTTGCTGCTTGGACACCCTCAAGGGCCCTCACCTTTCCTGGAGCTGGGTCCTTCGTTCCCTCTCAGTCCTCATTTCAGCCCAGGGAGCTAAGCTCTTCATTCCAGTTACTGGGGACAGCTGGGAAGCAGTAGAAGCCACATTTGAACCCAGATCACAGCCTAATGAGCACATTCTTCCACAAAACCACATTGTTCCCAAAGTAACCACTGCTACAACAAAAACGCATTCTGCTTTCTGATCTCGTGCTTTTCCCTCCTATTAGTTTGCAGAGACCTGGCGTTACCCATAAGCAAGGAGTGTGGTTGGGATAAGTGGATAAACTTACTGAACGTTGTGTATTGGCTTCTTTTGAGGTAGGTTCTCTTTACGTGCTGGGGAAGTTGGCCCCTGGCAGCCCAAAGCCTGCCTCTCCTCTGCTTGTGTTCCATCAAGGGGAGAGGAAACCTCTCACAATACCCAGTTATGAGTTATGGCTCGCAACAACAGCTCCAGTTGTTTCCATGTGGGTCTCACGCTCACCACCTGAGTTCTGTGCCCAGAGGGACGGGATGCCAGAGTTGGCTGTGCCAATCCAGTGTGCCCGCCCTAGTGTGAACACAGTGATTTGAAGCCCCACCAGAACCCCATGGGTTAGTTCCACCAACGGAAGATGCAATTCAGAGAAGAGGGGGTAGAGAACAAGCCAAAACAACCCCTAACCTATACCGGAGGGGAAGCCCTTGGTGGTCACAGTAAAAATTTTCAGGGCACCGGTCTGAGAGTCAAGAAACGGTTTCAGTGTCTTCCCCGCCCCTTCCTGTCAGCCAAATGCCACTGCTTTCTGCCTCCATAGCCCTGTTTGTAAAATGAGGGGGTAGGACTA